GCCCGCTGTCATTCCATGACTATTCTTTCGCTGTTCTTTCGACAAATTTCGCGGCCGGTTGAAACTTCTGTCTTTGTTTCCCTTTAGGTCCGTGCACCGCTTGGAATTTAACGATACACGAGTACAGCAAGAACGGCGATCCAGCTGGACCGAGACTGTACACATTCTGCTCGAGGAACACGCACAAAAATTTCACCCTCCCGTGGAAAACGAACACCGTGGTGGTTAGGTGAGCCACCTGTTTAAGTTATCCTCGTCCCGATTAATCGGAAATTGGCGGGAACTTTATTCATCGTCGCGTGTGTTCAACGAGAGTTGCACTTTCTGCGCAGAGATTATGATACCGCGCGCGTCAAATAGTTTTTTACGCGGATAGGTAGAAATCGATTAGTCGGAGAGATTTATCCAACGCACACAATCGTTGTGGAATCGTTCGAATAACCGGATAAGTCTCGCGGAGATTACCGTTTGTCACGGTTTCTCTGTGTATCGATGCGATACGAGAATCCGCGAAAAGAGATTCCGCGTGCAAGTGTTTCGCGGGAGAGATCGTTTTTGTTTTTGTTTCTAGTAAATGAGATACGTACAGCGTACCGGCTCGCTTCTGATGGAGAGTCGAGAATGGCGAGATGCGTTACAGAGAAACACGTCACTTCGAAAATGCATCTCGCAAAGATCGTTCCCTTTGCTCGTCTTCTGCGTGTGTTTACTCGCGATCGTTTTATTTGTCGGTGGAAGAAATTCGAGGGAGGTAATATTTATCTTTGTAAATATATTTCCTCATTTTTCAAAGTGTTTCCGGCATATGTAGCCGTTTTATCTTTGTACCTTGATTCCACTGGAAGCACAACAATCGCGGGCAACGTCGAGCTTCGAAAGACAGAATAAAAATTGACGAGAGAATTTGAACTGCAACTCTGCTTCCACTCGAATATCAAATAAATATGAACTGAATCCGATTATCTTATCAAATACGTGTTTACCTCTGCGTTTGTCCTCTGATTTTTCGAACTTTCATAATAAACACTTGGCCTCGCAAGTTGATTGAAAAGACACACAGTGTCTTGACGACGCGTCGAATAATTGCCAGGCTCTGTAACATTGTTGTTGCACTGTCTGTTCGCAGATTACAGGCTCTGGGAAGGACAGCACCGGAATACACGATGAAATGGCGGAGCCAGTCGGTAATCGCAAATACGCACAAGAGCGGGCCATCGCCGGCACCGAATCACGTGCTCAGCTCCTCAGCCGGAAACGGGCCACAGGAAATGCGTATCCTAACACTGTTCGCGATGCTTCTCGCTTGCGCGGTCTGTTGTTGAATTCGACCAACTCGACAGACCGTGCACGTTCCTGTTCACAATGAGAGACAAAATATTGCGAACGAGCCTAAGATTTCTACTAGTGTACACATACACACACACACACACACATTAAATATTATAGAAACGATGCTCGCGTTTCCTCGGGAAAAAGAAATTTTTCTCAGCTATTCTGTTTTCTGAAAAAAAGAAAGATAACACAAAGTCACTGACACTCTATAGAGACGATATCTCTATCTGTCGGGATATGATTTTAACAATACTAAATTTCACGGTTGTTATACGAATGAAATTTCCCTGCAGAAGTTGTTACTATACCTTTGAAACTTACGAAAAATTAAAATCTAAATCGTCGAGGTCAGATGTCGTCCCTGAGGAAAATTAAAAAAAAAATTAAGCAAAGTATCAAGACGTTTGTCAAAGCCTCTCGAGATTTGAAGGTTTGAGAACCGACCACCCAATCGCAAAGCATTATTTTCGATGAAATATTGAAATCAGTCGCCACGAAATTACCGTACGCGAAATTTTTCCATACTGCGAGAACCGTGCTTATTTACATTGGACAGATATTGTTTGAAAATAATTACCGACTAAATGGAATTCGTTCGCCGAGTCACTTTGACCGGTAATATTCAACAATTGATTCGCAAAAGTTTATTACTCCGTTTGCAATTTATTTTTCTTTCTTTTTTTCATATGGAATGGGGAATTGATCGACGCGGAACAAACAGCGAGTAACAAAACGCGTAATTAATGAGATTAATTCGCAATCGCAGTGCCGCGCGAGGCAAGAGCATCGAGCATTAATCGAAGGACACGAGAATTCCAAAAGGACGTAGCTCAAATTTTCCAAGGTTTTTTTTTTCATCGCCGATGTTTTTAGCGTAATGTACTGACGCAGTCAACTGACTTCATTGGACAAAATTGACAGAACCAGACGCGGACGTAATTGGCAAAGAATGAAATGTACAGAATCGAATTTTGGAATTCAACGCTCTAGTCGAATTATACACACACACACACACA